CCCCCCCGGAAGGTGCCAGCTGGGGGAGCCCCGAAGGTCCTTCTGGGACGTGAAATAAACCATTTCCTTCTCACCCCCGAGGCCTCCATCATCGTCCTGATTCTTCCGGGGCAGTGAGGGGGGGGGTCAGGGGTCAGGTGGGCACCTGCACACTCGCAGGGTCTGGGAGGGAAGGGGGGAGGGAGGAGGGAAAGGCCGGGGGCGGTCTGTCTGCAGCTGGACCCTTCTTGCTCTCTGCCACAGAACTGAGCCCTGTTAGAGCCCCCCTCGCCCCAAACTGGGGCCCTTTGAATATGCTCAGAGGGGGCCCCTCTCCTGGCCTTAGTTCCACCCCCAAAGTGAAGCCAGCAGGTGTGGAATCCCCGCCCCCAGTCAAGCAGGGTCAAGGCCTTGGGCAGGGGGGACCCGCCCTCTGGTGCCCCAGCCGCCCTTCAGCGCTTGCTGTGCCTGCTTGGATTTGGGCTGCCTGCCTGCCTGCCTGTGTGTGTGTGTGTGTGTGTGTGTGTTGTGTCTCCTGGGCCAGAAGCCCCGGGGGCTCTCCCGTTGCGGAAGAGGGGGCAATGTGGGGTCCTGCCCAGCAACCTTCTCCAGCTGCCTGCCTGGCATTTCTTCCTCTGACAAGCCCGTCTTCTGGGGGGGGTGGGGGGGGAGGGGCCCGAAAGCAAGGGAAGAAAAAAAAATCTCCTTCCTCCACTTTATTTATTTCCTGCCGGCCAGGAACGGGGTTGGCCCGGGGAGAACTTGGCTCCCTGGCCGAGAGAACCCCGGTGGGCGTGAGGCAGCCTCCTCCAGGGCCTGTTGGGGGGGCAGCAGGGAGGGGGATGGAGGAGGGGAGGGGCTTCTCTGGCACAATGCATGGGGCTTGGGGGAGGGGGGGAGACCCTCCCAGCCCCTGGAGTCTGTAAGCAGAACGAGGAAAGTCACTTGCAGGATCTATTTATTTATGACTTCAATTTATGGGGCCACCCAATTCACGGTGACCTGGGCAGCTGATGGATTGACGAGAGGACCCCCATACCTCGGGCCAGAATAAATGTCCTATAAGGAGAGGAAAGGGGGGGGGGGGGGGGACTGGGCGGTTGCCCTGCAGACATTTCCTTCATTCCGATGTGGTGCGGGAGTCACAGAACAAACTTGGTCCTGTCCAAAGAGCCCCTCCCAGACCCCACCGATAGCCCCCGGGAAAAGCCAGGTGGGGGGGGGGAGCCCCCGGTCTCAGAGGGCAAGTGCTGTGATTGGGAAGGACGGGGGTCGGCAATGGGAGGGGCCTCGTCTGCAGGCGGGGTAAGAGCAGGAGCCAGCCGGGGGATGAGTCTGCCAAGGAGGCCCAGACGGTTGCAGCACAAATGGCTGCAGCCTCCAACCCCCCCCCCCCCCCCCCCCCCCCCATTTCCTGATCAGGGAATCGTCAACCCGCTCTCGGCTGCACTGGCCAGATCACAGGACGCCCCACTTTCAGCGGGTCCAGAGCAATTGCAAGGGGTCCAGAGGGGGGAGGCGGGGTCACACATCCGCCCTCCGGGAAGGGATGCTGCCCATCTCATCTGGAGCAGAGTCCCAATTCAAACCCTTGGAAAGTCGGGACTGGGGGCTCTTGTTCCAGAGGGAAAGAAGGACAGGGGAGGGGGAGGACGTCCCCTCCCCCTCTTGGTGAGGGTCTCGGGGGGGGGGAGGGTTCAGTGCCATCACCCACAATTGCTGCCTGGGCTGTGTGTTGGAGGGCCCGTTTACGGCTGGCCCCCTTCTCTCCAAGTGGGGCAGTAGCTACGCAGGCAGGAGGGCGGAGCTCCGAGCTGCTCCTTCCGGGGCCCACGCAGGGCTCAGTCCTTTGCCCCAGTCCGCGGCAGAGGGCTGGGAGAGGTCACCCCCCCCCCTCCGCCCCGATTGGGTGGGGCTCACCGGTAAACTGACCGCCCCCCAGCAGGGTCTCCTCCCGGTCGGAGACCCTGCGGACCGCGCTGGGCGGAAGGGCAGCCTTGGAGGCGGCCTGGGGACCAGAGCGGGCGCTGAGCGCAGAGCACCGGGGGTGAAAGGCCCTGCAGCCGCGTGGTGCCAGCTTGGCAGCCCTGGTGGCCAGCAGGATCCCCGGGCCGCCTCAAGTGCTTTCCATCCGATCCAGACGGACTCTGCCCGGCAGTCTTCTGGAGAGCCCAGCTCTAGAGGGGGCGGGGGTTGGGGGGGTGGGTCTGGAGCTGGCAGGCCCTCCAGCCATCGGAGCTTGAC